TGCTCTATGAATGGAACATGAGACAGCTGTGGGCTGACTCAAGAGCCAGGCTGCCACTTAATTCTGAACATAGAGTTCAGTTCTTCCCAGTCAAACCTTTCCTGTGTTTGCAAGAGACACTTCAAGACAGTTCACTTCTATGCAGGCAAAAAAGTTCACAATATAATCTTTAAAAGACTTTGGTTCTGGATCCTCTCTGTACTGAATGGAATCCCCTGCACAAAAATCATTACATCATTTTTGCAGGGACTAAGGAAAGAAATGACCTCCCGTGCATCAGGACTAAATACAGGATCAGCCTTTCTTACACATTTTTCCCCATGAAAAGAAACTCACCCTTATGGTTGTTTCTACAAGGCCTCCTCTTTGTCTCTTTTTTGGCTGCTTGGATAATCAACAGGAAGATGGACATCCCACTCACCATGAGCAGTACCAGACAAATAAGGATAAGTGATAAAGACCCTAGAAGAAAAACAAAAGAAGAATACACTATGGCTTTCCAGCTCCAAAAGAAGGAACGTAGAACTCCAGAAGTATCCCTGAATCACAAAGCCTAGAAGTCCCAGCTGCCAAGCAGACTAGCAAGAAGTCTGGAATCCAGTGCATGTCTCACTGAAAGACTGTGTAAAATACAGATACAGCTTCTGAGGAAGACTGTGATTTCATTTCCAATGAAATCAGTTTCAGGTGAAAATTCCTGACCAGCTCTAGTAAATTGAGAGACTAGACTTGGTCACTCCCTCTCCTTACCCCAGTTAGTCTCTGTGGGGCTGTTTACATCCGAGCAAGTGAAAGGAATCACACTGGGTCTGGACGGTGAGAACACTGCAGTCGACATATTATTCTTGTGGTCAGTGGTGGAAAGATTCAAAGCAGGTGTTGCACTCTGAGAGGAAGGTGGCTGTGTGGCATGGTTGCTGCAAACAGCATCGTTTGTTTTTGTCCCTTGTAAAAGTGTAGCTTTCCCAAGAACGCTGCAGCTGGAGACACAAAATAAATTAGTGCAGTTTTTCAAACAGTTACAGTAATGACATTGTAAGTGACCTCCACGGAACAAGTGCGTGAACATTACAATCGTTGTTTTATCAGTACAAACTCAGGCTTCGCCTTTCCTAGATTCTACACGTATGTGAAGAACAACTAAGCTAATCAAAGTTATTACTGGAAAAAACCTGACATTCTGTTTTTCTTAGCATCTGTGCATGTAACAGCCTTGAAGCATGGCTGCATTTGGGAAGGGAACCTTTTGCTACAGACACAAAACATCCAGACCTTTTTAAAAAAAAAAAAAAAAAAAAAAAAGGCCGAGAATACTGTTGTTGCTATAGGTGAAGACAGAAAGGGCAGAGGGCAGACAGATGCTTCAAATTAGTACAGAGACTGCTCAAGGCTCCTGAGAGTCATGAGAAACGTGGTTTCATTGCACCTGCTACAGGTTTACTTTACACACCATGACTTGGGTATCAACTGCAACAGAAATAAACCTAAAATGTTGCTCTGAACATGTTTAGGTCAGTGATACATACTTGGTCCAAGGATGACAGTTTTCATTTTCCCCTATGGAATAAGACCCTTCAGGGCATGGTAAGCATACTGGAAAAAAAGAAAGAGGCAGAATTTGAGTTCAGATAGTGACACAACTGTTTGACAGCTACACAGTAATTATAGTAATAGCTTATATTCATAGTCTAGATTATAGAACAGACCCAACAAAACCCACATAGACTAAAAACTATAGCCACTGGGTCAGAAGTAACACAACATGCTCCGTGGTTCATTTTAGTCTGCAGCTGGCAAGGTTTCCTGTTCTCTCTACTGGCTAATTATGGCTATTAACAAGGAGAGCATTAAGATTTCTGACAGCTCAGGAATCACAGAGCAACGGTTTGCACAACTACCCTGCCATAACGCGTGGAGGTATCAATGAGACAAATGACAACAGCTTTTACACAAAAAATAACAACCATCTCATCCGAAGCGGAGGCAAGAGTTGGAGAGTCTGACACATTGCTAACTTACCACTTCCCAGTTTGTATCTGACATCCGGCATGTAACCTGCAGCACACTTGCAAATTCTGTCAGAGGTCTTCTCACACTTCTTCACTTCCACACTTCCCTTCCCTAGCAACAACAGAATAAAGGGGAAGCGAGAGACAAGAAGTAAGTTAAGAAAGAAAAAAAAAATTAATTACTCTGTGCCTATCTGTTGTGTGTAGAAGCAACTGCAGAGAACAGAGTTTATTAAAAATTCTGAAGACATCAGTTTTCAGGCAGTGCAAGCCTGCTTCCCTTTGAAGGCTCTACCATCAGTCCCAACCAGGAGATATCAGCTACTGAAATAACAGCACAGCCTTTGGACTTTGTGATCTCAAGCGACAGGCTTTATGACAACAGCCTTTGAGGAACACAAAGATAAGAAAGCATATGGAAACCGATTGCCTCCCAAATTTGTATCGACAAGTGGCTACTATACAGCCCACTTACTAGTGTTGCAGATTGTACAGCTCTTGCAGAAGTTGTGGCTGTGCTCACTACTAAAGTATTCGTCTTGACAGGGAGCACAGACCGTATCCGTTGTTGCTGTGCAGCGGCTTCTCATTCTTTCACCTAAAACAAAGACCAGGTAAGAAGGAGGAACTGATCATTATCAGAAGGAAACCCTCTTCATTTTCACACATTAGAACATACGAGTGCCCAGAAAGTGACAGTTCCGCTTACAACGCTGGCTGAAAACGTTCAGCAGATTTGGATGTGCCAGAATCCTTAAAAGTTTTGACACATAGCTGTAAATTAAGCAGCTAAAATGGGCTATTAGGGGCCTGATGACTTGCTGAGAATTGAGGTGATGCCCCAAATGATTCTCCCAGTAGATTCCAAATACCACTTCTCCAGACCACCTTCTCGTATGGTTTAAACATCACAGTTTGCAGCCAATGTCAGTTAGGAAAAAAAAAAAAAAAAAAAAAAAAGCAGGTTTTTAGCATAGCAATAGATCTGATCTCCAGTGTAATATAATGGCTTTACGACAGATCCTACCTTCCCTTAGGAGACGAATCATGCAATTCAACCCAAAGTAATCCCAAACACATACAAAAGATGGCAACGAACTGCTCAGGTTTGCAGAAAATTTATTAGTGAAGCAGCCAAGAATGAATGCTTTCTGTTGGCATTCTGAAAGCCCACTAGGCATGAAAGAAAGAATGTGGTTGTATTTCGATATGCATCTCTCCTGACACCCAACAACATCAAAGATATTACTAGCAATTCATAAGTATAAGCTTTTCATAAGCAGTGAGACACGGCACAAGATGTAAGGCAGGCATTTGTTACTATTCCAAACAGTACGTGTGTATCACACATTGCACTTAGAAACAAGCTCTGCATGCTTGCACCCACAAATTCCAACCTGTATGATACACAGAACCGAGATAGAATTTGAGATTGATGCGTTAGGATGACAAGGTCTGTGAGCAAAGCAACTGGCCCAAGCTGGAACAGCAAGTTAATAGTGGATTTTGGAAAAGGAGTCAAGGCACGTTCCTTTTATCTCACTAGCCACTCTCCATACAGCACAGGCTGCAGGAACTATACACAGCTTTAACGACTAGGGGGTTTACAGTTGAGCTTAAATATGTCCTTATTCTCACAGACTGTTTCTTTCATTTTGATTCTCCATTTTCCCATTCCATAGGTGAACAACGAACTCCAAGTCTCTTGCTCACTCTCATTTTCTCTGCATTTTATTGAGTGGCAAAACACAGGGCATTTTTAGCGAACACAATCTATGCCATACACTTCTACATTTTTACAACCTACACAATCAGGAAGAGACTATGAAGCAATGTTTCCCCAGCTGCAGCAGATTTGCTAACAATGCAAAAAAACTGACAAAAGTTCTGTCAGCCTAAGGAGGAACAAAAAACCCGAGAGATAAAGGATTATTTGTATCTGCATGCAAGTATGCCCGTCTTTAAACTGAGTTCAGAAACACTCAAAATTGAAATAGTTTTGAGAATAATGCAATAAACTGCCTCAAATCATAGAACCATAGAATCGCTTTGGTTGGAAAAGACCTTTAAGATCATCGAGTCCAACCTTTAATCTAACCCTGCCATCCCACCACTAAACCACGTCCCCAAGCACCTCATCCATCCTTCTTTTAAATACCTCCAAGGATGGGGACTCTACCACCTCCCTGGGCAGCCCATTCCAGAGCCTGACAACCCTTTCAGTGAAGAAGTTTTTCCTAATATCTAACCTAAACCTGCCCTGGCGCAGCTTCAAACCATTTCCCCTCGTCCTATCGCCCGTTACCAGGGAGAAGAGGCCAACCCCCTCCTCACTACAGCCTCCTTTCAGGTAGCTGTAGAGAGCAATCAGGTCTCCCCTCAGTCTCCTCTTCTCCAGACTAAATAACCCCAGTTCCCTCAGCCGTTCCTCGTATGACTTGTGCTCCAGACCCCTCACCAGCTGGGTTGCTCTCCTCTGGACATGTTCCAGCAA